GATTTTAGAGAGAAAGGAAGGGGTGAGAGAGAGAGAGAGAGAGAGAGAGAGAGAGAGAGAGAGAGACACTGATGTGAGAGAGAAACATCAATCTGTTGTCTTCCATATGCCCTCTGACCACGGGTCAAACCTACAACCTAGGAAAGTGCCCTGACTGGAATTGAGCTTGCAAACTTTCAGTGCTAGGGATGCACTCCAACCAACTGAGCCACCCAACCAGGGGAGCCACGTCCTCTTTAGCACACTGGGATACCATGATTGCCACTGGACACTCGGCTGTCTCTGTTCCCAAGGTACACAACTCAGCCATCTCAGTTCCAGTGGTATGTAAGCATCACTTGCAAGACTCAAGAGGTTTAGCTTCCCTTCCCTTTCTTTTATTTTATGAGAACAGAGACTGAAACTATACCAGTGATGGTCTGGACCACCCCTACACCATCCATTTAGATGCCTGAACTAGTGTCCTTTTGCCCAGTTGGCTGGAGTGGGCCATCTCTCTGGCACACACTCCTTAATGATGCTAACTAGGCAGGCACACCCACTTCCCTTGGCATGTTTTACAGATGACCCAAGCTGCAAACACAAACATGTATAAGACATATGCTCTTTTCATTGTATAATTTTAGGCACCAAAATATGCCTACACATCGGGGTGTGTGCATACAGACACATGCATATTCTTTTTTGCCTGGTAGAAATATGCTTCCGTGATGTTCCTTCGACTCCCACACATGCCCCTCCATGGCTGGCACATCTCCTAATTATTCCCATCTTTTCCCTCCCCATAGACCTTTTGTGTGTGTATTTTGGCACACATCCTCTTGATTCTGCCTAGTTCCTTTCGCTCTCTCTTTCTTTCCCTGCCTCCCTCCCTCTCCCTCCTCTACACAACTCTTTAGAAAATTTGTTAAACTATACACTCTTTATTATTAATGTACATTTATGAAAAATTCTTCACAATTACAAAAGTGCATGGTTATAAAATCATCTCCATACAAAGGTTGGCATCTTCCCGTTCCCCACCCCTCCCTAGCCCTCCCCCCCAGACATCATCATTCCTCAGGACAGCACTCAGAAAAACTGGGCACTCTCTGGCTCCAGATCTCCCCACCCAGCGCTGTGGCAAACATGATGGTGATTTACACAGGACTTTGCAACTTGCTTCCTTTTCTTCCCTTTTTGCCTTCTTCTTGGGTGGGGAGAGCAGACAAGTTTCTCTAGCTTTGGGAGAAATGGACAAATGTGTTTCCTTATAGTCTTCGAGAGCTGGCAGAGATGCCAGAGCAATGCCAGCAAAGACATCTATCAGGAAAATAGGGCTGGTAAGTCTTTGCTGATGGTGGAAGAGAAATGCCTATGGTGGTCTGTGCTCAATACCATACACCAACCTCCTTGAAATGAGCCAGCAAACTCTATAGCAACTTTGGGGACTTACTTCTGCAGGGTTCCCTGGGAATCTCTATAGGAAGGGAGAAACAGCTGAGGGATTGTCTGAGGGTGATCAGAAGTAGCTGGTCCAGAGTGGTGTGGTGCAAATGTGGGATCTTTTCTAAAGAACAATGGCCAAGACCTTGACTATCACAGCATTGTTGGTTAACTAAAACTTTGATACCCCCAGGCCCAGCACGAAGGAAGCTTCTGTGATGAGGACAAATCTCTGAGGGGTAGGGAAGTAGTCAGGCTGTCATTAGTCTGCCTCCACCACATCTCTCTTTTTATAGATTCTGAACAGCTATTCCTATCTCAACTGTAATGGGATTTTATCTTAGTGTATCAAGCAATGCAATAAACAGATGGCTGAGTAGACGGCTGGATAACTGAACTCAAATTCCAGAGAGTTTGGCCCCATATCAGTAGATATCTAACATACACAAACCTCACAGACAGACACAGGGACTCAGAGATACCCAACACTTACATGTTAACTGATCTGGAAAACCTTAATGACACCTTGAATGACACCTTCTGGGATCACCATTGTGGGTTCTTGGTCAGCAGCACTGAGGAAGCAGTTTCAATCAGACTGCTCAGTTCCCTCTAGAAAGCCTGCTTCTGACAGCCTGCACAAGACGCTGGGGGTGGAGGGTGGGAGAGACACAGAATTCCTTGCAGGAGGGACGATTCCTCATTGTGCTTTAGTTAACTGGGGACCTTCTAGCAGCTGGAGAAGCTTCTGTTCTCTAAAAGCCACGTATCTCACTCAGAAAGAGTTGCCACTAGTGGGGACTAACTAGTCTCATTAGAAAGAACGTTTGATCTCAAGGGGCATTTGGTATCTTGTTTGGTTCTAGTTCTATGCAAAAAAAAAAAAAAAAAAAGAACACATATCTTAAAATATATTAACTAGATTTCAACAAACAAGAGTGTCTAAGAGATTATCATAGATATATAAAGTGTTCTTCTATGAAGGCTTCACTATTTGTATCAAGGTTATTATTTCTACAGGTTCCTCCCCGAATACCTTAGGCTGTCAGGTTGACTGGTGGAGAGCAGTCCCAGGACATAGGGGAAGCAGAGAGCGGGCACAGTTCTGCTCCAGATGTTACAAGAACAGGGCATCTTGAGTGACATTCAGGGGCCACAAGGTTCAAATACCCCAGGTCTAGCAAAGTTTCTGGACACTCTTTTGGTTGACTAGCTCAGGGAGGATGAGTAAGGGAAGACTTCTTGGAAGATGATATGTTTCTCCTTCATTCCTTCAGGCCTGCTGGGAAGAGGGGATGATGCAAGCCTGTTGGAGTTGGGGGCAAGGTAGGAAGCCCCTGTTTTAATTCCTATCCCAGCCAGCCTTGGCAACATGCCTTAAACTCTCCCCCTATCGTGCAGATATTCTCACCCTCAGCTTTCTGACACCCTTTGTATCTTTTGCAACACAACACAGCAGGGCTCCAGTAGAAGGGGTTAATACAGCTTTCTCTCCAATTTCCAAAACTTCTTATTTTTCAAATGGTCACCATTTCTAATGCATTATTTACACTTCACAAGGAAGGTGACCCTTATTCAGGTGTTGTCTGTGCTACTTCTAAGTTTCAGAGGCTGTGATTTGCCCTGTTGTGAGCATATCTAAACCTGTACAGCCACTGGGTTTTTACTGCCCTTTGTTTACTGATCTGCTAAGAAGTTCATGGCTGCTGAATTCTAGGGCTCCACTACCCAGCCTCCCGGGCATTCTCTTCCCAAGCACCTGGGACAGCACTGGAAAGAGAGCTAAGTTGGAGCTGAGTCTGAACCCTGCCGCTTAGGCAAGTCACACCCACTCTTGAGTCTCTCTCTCTATTATTATTATTTTTTAATCTGTAAAAGAGGAGTAATGATGTTTGGTTTGCCTGCCACACAAGGTTGTGAAAGGCAGGGAGAATGCAGCCAAAGCACTTCAGGAACTGTCCAGTGCTGAACAAATGTAGGGAAGACGACGAAGCCGATGATGACAGTGATCATGAAGATGACAACGAAGATAATTGTGCTTTGCACATGAAGATACTTGATTTTTAAGTGACTGATTAGACATGGTTTCCCTGAATGGAGCTACCTATCATCTTCCTTCTAGAGTTTTTCTGGATAACCTCGGGTAAGATACTCAGTCAGCTCTCTACAATGAATTCATCTGTAAAATGGGAATAATAAGACCACCAGGCAGTGTTGCTGTGAGAACTGACATAAATGAGTCAATCGATGTAGAAGTGCCCAGAAGAAGTGCCTGGCTCTTATTAGGAGCTTCATCAGCATGACTTAACTTTGAATTTATATAACTTTTGGGGGAACTATGATGTTCCCCTACTTGAATGGAGTAGCTGAAAGAGCACAGACTTATTTTGCTCCTAGTATCACATGACCTTGATCTCTCTGGGCTTTGCTTGCTCATCTGTAAAATGGGAACTACAATGCTCACCTTAAAAGACTGTTATGCGTATTAAAGGAAATGGTCTGTGGAGAGTTTATCACAGTGCCCAACACTGGCAAGTGCTTGGTAATTAACAGCTCTCTCACCCTTATGCTTAAGTGAGTGAGTTGCTTAGAAGAAAGAGCAAATCCTCCTATTATCACAACAGTGGTGGCCTTCTCCTTCAAGTCTTGTACTGCCATGGTACAGGGATGCAACCCACCCACAGTGTACTTTCCTGGTGACATCCCTTGGCATGAGCAGTGGCAAGAACAGTCATGAGGTTAGGAGTCCCAGAGTGCCAGGACTCTGATGCCCCATTCCCGGGCCTCCTGCTTCTTTCTTCTGAAGTCAAAGCTGGAGTGAGAGGCAGAAGACACAGGTGGGAAAAAGGGTACCGAAGGTGTCTGTCCTCAGCTGGCTACCTGGGACTTTGCCAGCAGGCTACAACTGGTGATCTAGTGTGAAGGGCAGTCACTGGGAGGTGGTCTCACCTGCTTGCTGCTGGTAAAAGGTAGCCAAGGGGCTGGCATGGGGGCATCTCACTCTCTGGAGGCAATGGTTGATAGTTCCACGTGCTGACAGATTGGATGTCAGAGGGCACATTTTGGTCCTGTGGCCCTCCCCTTCTGTACACCGAGGTCCCAGGGATTGCTCAATGTACCACACATATCTTAGCCTCTGTCATTGGTGTATGTCCACCTTTCTTTGTCTACTTGACAAAGTGGATGGTTTTTAATGACCCAGCTCATGGATCACCTTCACACTTGATCTTCTCTTGGACTTTTTGAGGCACAGTTGACGACCCCTCCTCTGGGCTTCTGTAGCTATGTGCTCAGAATACCAACAGTCTGTCTTAAAGGGAACAGTTTTTGAATCTCTCCTCTACCAGACGGCAGTGCCTGGAGGGCAGGGAGTAAGTGAATTCATCTACCACTGCCAGTTCCTAGCACAGTGTCCGGCCCACAATAGAAGCTCACTCAAAAGTAGTTTTCTGACATTGCTTGAGCTATGACAGAGGTGGGCAGGGCACCATGAGGCCTGAGTAGGCAGCCAGGAAGGGTGTCTGGTGTCAACAGCAGTGGTCGTTGGTAGCAAGGAGAGAGGCCAGGCACCCACGTCAAATCTCTTCCTCTTCGTTGGCTTTGCTCCAACGGTGGCAGCAGTTGGCTGTGATGCCCAGGAGGAAGTTGGTGGCCACAGATGCGATGGAGACCACGAAGCCCACGAACGCGATGAAGAGGTAATCATCTAGGGTCAAGGTCAGGTGGCAGGCCTTGAAGCTCTCCTCAGTGAGGGAGAAGAGTGGGGCACCCTCAACTTCAGGGGGGCCTCGGCACTCAGCCAGCTGAGAATCTGTAACACAGAATCCAGGAAGGGTGAGAGGCCTGGGGAGACAGAATGAAATGGAGAGTCCCCCACCCCACCCAGGAGAAGGTGAGTTTCTTTTGTACCAAAAGTTTTACTTATCTTTTTTAATCCCCTCAACAGCCCTCAAGGCAAATTTTTTTGCACCTATTTTTATAAATGTGGAGATCACTGTTGGGAGAATTGAGTAAGTTGCCTAAAGTTCAACAGCCACTACTAACGATAGAACTAGGGCTTTCATGGGCTACCATGATCTCGTCCAACAGCCTTCCAACTGGTCTCACAGCTTCTGCCCCTGAACTATCTCATCAGAACTGGCTGAGCGACCCATTCAAACCTGATGCCCTGTCATCTCACTCTCTGCTTTTTATCTTCCCACAGAAGGAAAGCCAAGGTCCTCACCAGGGGCTGCAAGGACTTCTCCCCATTTTTTCCACTCTGCTCCTTGGTCACTCTGTTTCATCCATTCATACCTCCTCGTCATTATTCCAGCACCTGAGCATGTCCCATCTGGGGTAGGGACATGTGAGGGTGTCCCCTTGTGAGGAAGCTTCTCCTCTGGATCTCTGCATAGCTTGGTCCCTCACTTCCTTTGGGACTCTGCTCAAATATCACCTTATTGGGGAGGCCTTCCCTTATAATGCTGTATAAAATAGTAACATCTACTTCACCTTTCTCTAGGCATTTTCTATTTTACCTTCTCTGCTTAATTTTTCTCGCCAGTATTTACCATTGTCGGACAGCTGGTTTATTATCTATCTCCGCCACCTTGAATATAAGCATGTCTCATAGTATTCTTAGCATCAGAACCATGTCCTGTCCATGTTAATGCCCAATGAATCTTCATTAAATGAACATGTGAATAAATAATTTCATCTAACAGAAAAATAACTCTGCATTGGGTCTTTCTCCTTCCCCATGTGGTTTTTTCAGATACACAAAGTGTACGCTTCAGAGTATGGGCTCTGGAGCTATTGGCTTGTGTTCAAATCCTCTCTTTACCCCTCCCTAGTTGTGTGATTGAGGGTAAGTCATTTAAACCCTCTGTGCCTTGGCATCTTCCTCTGTAAAATGAGGATAATAACAGTATCTACCTCAGAAGGTTGTTGTGAGGAATCAATGAGTCAACACATATAAATGATATGTTCTTGGTATATAGAAAAATACTAAGTGTGTGCTTTTGTTATTATCCTATTTTGGTCTCTCTGGACAAGCCAGAGGGGGTCATATTCTGCACACAGATCTCTGTAGAAGAGGACTTCTCCTTCGGTGGGTTCCATTCTCTCCATCACTGATGGTCCCACCTCATCCTTCCAGGGTCACGTGTACAAGTGCTTGATTACTGGCAACAGTTCCATCCTACGCTGCCCTGGGGGCAGAAGTGGCATGCAGCTAGCAGTTCTGCCATTCCTTTGTCCAGATTCATGATGCTCTCACCTTGGACAAGTCTTATTGTTATTATTTTATTTTCTTTGTTTGCCTTCTTGCTCTCATGAAGAGGGAACATATAAAAGGGGGAAAGAATCTAACCTAATTGTCTAACAGAGTCAATGTCAAGGAGTTTTCTAAATTATATGGTGCAAAATGCTTTTCTACTCATGCTGTTGGTTTTGAGGGCAAAGGATAAAATGATGGCTTTAGATGGACCCTTCTGGGAAATGGGTGAGCATCCGTCTCCTTAGAAATGGGGAGTCAGGTTCAGAAAAAGAATGCAACCTGTCCCCAACTCCATGTTGAAGAGACCCTGTAGGCTGTATGCACGGTACTCCAGACCCTGCCCAGGACAAGATTATTTGGAGTTGACCTGCAGGAGGCTTTCTCTTGCAACTGGAAGATGCTGAACTCCCAAGTCTACGGCGTGCCTGACTGGGGTGATGGTGACACAATGCAGAGCTGGGGAGTATGGAGACACTGAAGGCAATTGGTGTGGACCAGCTAGAGGAGGCTCTGAGGGCATGTGGCAGGACCCCACCAGAGTGCAGGATGGGAGCCTGGGGCTGACAAAACTTTGGTAAGTGAAGAGGTCAGTCTTGAAGTTAAGCTATATCCCAAGGGCACCCTTATGTTTCTCTGTGTTGGGATTTGTCTAAAACTTGTGGATAGTAGTTGCAATCCCAAGAAAAAGGGAGAAGCAGCAGAAAAAGACAAAGGGAAGAGGATTGCTTAGTCCCCCTACACTGGCGAGTTCTTTGCCCCCAAGAGGAACTGCCCTGAAGTGTGGTGTGGTACAAACTGTGTTCTGTGGAGGAGCAGGGAACCTGGTTTTTAGCTGTGGTATACTTGCTTTCGCGCTGTTGGTTTGTGGACAGTCACTTTCCCTTTCTGGAGCTCGGGTCCCCCATCTGTACTGACATGAGGCTGCACTGATGGGATCTTGCATCCTTCCGCTCCCCGGGAGTTTGAGCTTCTTTTGACGAGCAGTAGGGACCTCACAGATCCCAGAAAAGGAGGAGCCCAGGTGTGGTGGAAGCTTAGCGCCCCAGAGTGCCCCTTCTGTCCCTAGTGCACAGGAGAGGGGAGGAGATGCAGCTTGCCAAGGTTGAGCAGGTAGGAAGATTGCTCCATGTAGCCTCCCCCTCAGGTCCCCTACCATCGCTCCATCTCAGTCCCCAGCTATCTTGGTCCCAGAGAACATCCTCCCACCACTCTGTGGAAACATGGGAATCGTGACCCACAGCCCTCCCCCTCACCCAAGTTATTTTGGTCCGGGACTGCCCACTCAGTCCTCCTCTCCCTCCTACCTCGTTCATCATCACTTCTGAACATATTCTGCGCCCAGGCTCTGGGAAATCCCCTGGGATAGTGCCCTCAGCTATTCCTGTCATTCTTCTGCAGGGGGCTTGTGTCATAGCTCAGTGCCACCACCGAAGAGCTGGTGATGGGGGCCACGCTGAACACTGCCTGCCTCTAGACCAGGTTCGGACACTAGTGGGTGTGTCCAGGGCCCATCAAACCTGCGTGATTCAGGTTCCTTCAGTCCCCAATCCACCCCCAGCTGGGATTGGTTGGTTAAATCATCACACCCCAGTTTCTCCTCTCAACTCTTCATACCATGCTTAAATCTGGCAGGATGCTGCAGAGACCCTTTGGCCAGTCCAGAACTCAGGCTCTGACTCTTCTTGTCAGACTAGAACCTGACACTTCAGGATACAGCCAGAGGGCAGCCAGGCTGCAAAGGTTCAATTCCTGATTCCAACACTTAGCAGCGCTGTGACTTTGGGCAAGCGACTGAACCTCTCTGTGCTCCGGTTTTCCCCTCTATAGAGGGGGGGAAGCTCACTAGGGTTCATGTGAGGATGAGATAAGCTAAGATATATAATACACTTAAAACAGAGTGTGGCAGTAAGTACTAAAACAAATAGAGTGAGCCATTTTTATTTCTGCCAGACTTGTCAGCACTAGAGCACGTAAGAAGCAGTCTGATGGAGCAGAATGGGGCTTAGAAGACAGACACACTCGAGTTTTATCTATGGCGCCACCAGCTTCTAAATGAGTAATACTGGGCTACTGCTTTCACGGTTATAAATCTCAGTTTCTTCACCTGGAAAATGGGGGTGATAAAAGCGGGGGTTGATAAAAGCATGCTCGCCAAGTTCTTGGTCACGTGAAAACTATACACACGGTGTATTATTAGCTCTTCTTACTTGTTTACTGTCTGTCTGCCTCATTAGGTCATCAGTGCCACAGAGGCAAGGGCGGCCTCTGTTTGACTGGTGAATGGGTACCCGTGCCCAGTCTGCAAAGCAAGGACTACGAATACTTGCGGAGTGAAAAAGCCCTGCACAGAGAGGCGAGCACAAATCAAGGCACACAGTACGGGCTCAAGATCTGTAAGTCCTCCCTTCGTAGGAGCCTTTCCTCTTAGTGAGGCCAGAACCCTCCTTTCCCAGGCCCCCAGTCCTGCGCCCTCCCCTACCTGAGGTACAGCGCTGGACTCGGTTCCGCAGCCACTTCAGCAGGGGCTCCATGGTGCAGCCACACACCCAGGGATTGCCGCCAATCTGCAGGGTCACCAGCCCCGGCAGGCCCTCGAGGGCCTCGAGGCTGAGGAAGGCCAGGCCCCCGAAGCTGAGGTCCAGGTCTCGGAGCTGCAGCAGCCCCTGGAAGGCCCGCGGGTGCACCCTGCGCAGCCAGGGGTTGTGGCTCAGGTCGATGTGCACCAGGCCGTGGGCTTCCTGGAACATGTCGGCCGGCACGTGGCTGAGGTTGTTGTAGCTCAGATCCAGGTGTGCCAAGCGCTTGGCATGGAGGAAGAGGCCCGGGGGCAGCTCGGTCAAGGAGTTGTTGCGCAAATCCAGCACCCTGAGCTCCATGTAGCACGTGAGGTAGCCAGGCGGGACGGCGGTGATGCGGTTGTGGGCCAGGCTGAGGTTGCGCGTGTCCATTGGCAGGTCTGGGGGCACGGAGAATAGCCTTTGGCTGCTGCAGTCCACCACCTGGTTATGGCATGTACACAGGACCGGGCAGCTGGTGCCCGCGTCCGAGTGCATCACCCCAGCTGCCAAGAGGAGGGAGACCAGGAGCATGGTTGGATGGGGGGGCCCAGGCCAGGGCAACTGGGACCAGGTGTCTCCCATCTTAGGCAGCTGGCAACGGCAGTGCTGAATGGAGGCCATCGGGGCTGGGGCTGTGTCCTTGGAATCAGGAGTCAGTGGCATAGGGAAGCAGCTACTTCAGGGCCTAGAGCCACGGAGGGTGGGGCTTCTGAGCAGGGGAGTCATGGCTGAAGCCTTTCCCGAGAGCCTCTCAGTGCCAGAGGGCTCCCTAGGTGAGAGCCACAGGACGTCCCCTTTGGAGCCTAGGGGGCAATCATTCTGTTTGCGATCTCCCAGGGTCTGCAGAGATGATCACAACTTGAGAAAGGAAGCAGGGAGGATGGGGCGGGACCAGCTGCCAGCAGGTCCTGGAAGGGTCTCGGCAGATCTTTTGTGTCTCTCGCACCCATGACTGCTGGGGGCTTCCTCTCTGTTCTGTGCTGGAGAGGTGGGAGGGGAAATGAAGGACACGAAAGAGGCCTTTTAAAGGTCCTGGCATATCTAAAAACCCTGCCCCTGCCCCAAGTCTGGGGTCAGTGATCAGGAGGCCAGAGCTGCATCGGAATCTCCAGCATGTAAGGTCTCAGAGGCGATTCTTTTGGTGGCCCAGGGGGCTCGAGTCCAAGGGGGCCCTGGGGTGGGTGTTTTGGGCAGGGGGCCCAGGGTGAAGTGGATCTCCATGGGCCTCCGAAAGCCTGGGTCCTCAGCCTCAGTGTCTATTGAAATTCCCAGGGAGGGGAGGACCCCAAGTGGCACCCATTGTTTGCACTGCTGAGCTTGGAAAGAGTCATGTGTCCTGGAGGTGCAGGATGGGGGCGGTTAGGAGCTTGGGCGATGTCCCAGGCCAGCGCTTCTCAGCCGGCACTGTGTTCAGCAGGCAGAGGCAGAATTCCTTTTGGAAACAAGGAAAACACTCAGGCAGAGAAACAGTGCACTCTCCTCCCCGCTGTCCCTCTCCTCGGTCCTTTGCCCCTTTTCCCTCTTTGCCACAAAGTTCTGTGCACTCTCTGTGTCTCAGGTGTGGCAATGGCTCTCAGGCCCTAACCTCACACGGTTGTCACTCAGCCTGCGGGCCCCTTCCTTCCGCCACCCTCCCGAGTCTGTCCTGGGCTGGATGCATTTTCTTATTCTCCTCAGAGCCCCACCCCCACCAGCACCAAATATCCCACCCTTGAATAACTCTCAGGAAAAAAAGGAAAAAACACTCTGGAAGATTGCAAACCTCTTTCAGACCCTCTTAGCTCCCCCTCCCCTCCTTACACACACACACACACACCACACACACACACTGTTCTCCTGTGACTCCAACACACGCGCCCTGCCCTGCGCTCACACCTCCCCAGTTTTTTCTCCAGCTTCCCTCTGCACACACTCCGGCAGAGCCCCCTCCCAGCCTGTCCCCACCATCTTTCACCCCCAGGGCACACCCCTAATCCCAGCATCCTTTCCCCCACACACCCCACTCTCCCTCAGCCCCGAAGCTTGAGCCCACACCCACAGTCGGTCAGGCAGAGGGACAGGTGGCTGACACACCCGGTGGCTCACCCTGCCCTCCACCCTGCACCCCCCCTTCCGGGCCCCTGGATTCTCCGGTGCCCACCTGCTGTCCTCACTTGTCCTCCCCACATCCCCTCCCCTGACACTGCTCCTGACACTGCTCCTCTCACGATTCCAGCCTCAATCCCACCCACTGGGAAATCACCCCAGCTCCCCTCATTTTCTGAACCCCAAAGTCTCTGCCTGCACTCCCACAGGCCCTTGGGAGCTCACTTACTCTGTTCCAAGGACACAGCCATCAATCTGCTGCAGACACGGGGCTCCCTCCCTCATGCTGGAACCCCAGCTTGCTGCTTAGGGAGAACAGATCGCCTCCTCGGCGGGTCCCCTCCCCCGGCCTCTCCTCCTCCATGGCTCCTGGATGCCCCGGCAGCATCCTCCGTGGTTTCCTGTCCTGTGGTCCCAGAGCTCTTCCCCCCGAGCTGGTTCCCTTCTTTTGCCCAAAAGGGGAATCCGAGGGAGGATGCTGAGAAGAAAGTTCACAGCATCAGAATGCTTCTTCCAGAAACTCAGCTTGGTGCTGAGGCTGCTGGGGTTTGTGGCTTCCGGCAGGTCTTCCCCTCCCTCCCCCTTTCCTCCCTCTCTCCCCCTCCTCTCTTCCCTTTTCACTCCCTTTTTTTCCTCGAGGGCCAGGTACTGACGTTTCAGTCTCTTAGCAACTGCCTCCACATCTCTGAGCAACAGGAGCACTGTCTGTGGACCCCACCAAAGAGAGAGAAGGAAGCGGTTGTAGAATTCATAGCCACCGCAGATCCTAGGGCGAGGGGGACAAGGGACAGGGGTGTTGACAAGCAGGACAGGGGCATGGGAAGAGGAGCAGGCAGGGAGAGAGGGCAAAGGGCCCAGGGGAGTCTGAGATGGAGGAGGGGGAGTTTCAGGGAATCAGATCCAGAAGGGAAAGGGAAGAGGGCTTGGAATGGAGAATGGGACTTAGTGGGGGGTGGAAAAAAATGGGAAGGCCATGAAGACATGCATAAGGATGGAAAGAAAAAAGGAGACCTGGATGTGACCAGCTGGCTCACTTGATGGGATATAGCTGTTCGGTCCACATCGAAGGAGACAGCTGTTCCCCTGAGTCTGAATGTACTTTGGTCACCAGGTACCAGGTGACTGGATTGGCTCAGGGATTGTCAGGTATAATTATAGGAGGTGAGACTTTTCTGTGTTCCTTAATTGTCACTAAGTGCTCACCCCATCAGCTCTGAGGGCTTTTGGAATGTAAGGAGCCAACTGCCAGGTCCAGGTGTCTGGAGCTATAGGGACACTCAGATCTGTCTGTAGGCAGGGGGAGCGGCCGGGAAGCCTTGAGGACCTGTTCTTTTCCTCCAGGCGCCAGGGGTCGTCTGCTCTCCTGTCTCCATCTCTTCCGGCTTCCAGCTCCTTCCCACCCCAGGCTGACCCCAGAAGAGGGCCACGTCTTTGCAGTACCTCTTTTCTTGAGGACCCACGGAAGTCTCAAGCTGCCTTGCAAGTTGATAACCAACTCAACCAGTTTGGCCAAAGAGCTGGCTCATGTCTTTCTTTTAATCATCATTTATTGAGCACTTACAATGGGCCAAGTGCCTGGTTAGATGGGGGGCCTGTAGCCCCCAGTAAGATGGATACAGACTTTGCCTGTGTGTTGGCTCAGTTGATCTGGGGCCTGTTCTATTGAAGTAATAGCTTAGGTCTTTGGGGGAACTAAAATAGAGGAACAGGGAATGAATGTTTGGTTGTACAGGTCTGGGCATGCATAAAGTTCTCAGAAGCATTGTCTTCTCTTTCTCCTATATGGCCATAGAAGATCTGCTTCCTCTCCCACTGGCCCCTCTCATTTCCTGCTCATGGAATCTTTCATGTTCCAACACAGAGGGACAGGGGAGACACTGCATTAATAGTTATGCGCTGCGTTGGTTGAGGTAAATATGACTCCCATTTGCCCTCTGCTTTAAAGAAGGAAATGGCTGTTTGACCCATTTATGAGCTTAGAAATCAAATCGAATCTTAATGGTCTCAGGAAAACAAAGATAGCATGATACCTTTCTAATATGAAGTGAAAACGGTGGAAAACATAATGATCTCAATAGAGGCTAAGAAAGGGAATTAGCATATTTCAATATTTAATGTCGACTAAAGACACATTAAAAAACAATTAACAAAATGGAGATTTTCTTCTTTTACATAATATAAAGTTTATACGTACAATTAGAAACACTAATGTGACTAAAGAAAAATATTTGTGGCAATTTCCTTAAAAAATAGGACCCAGGCAAGAATGCCTTGACATCATTGGAAAGTACAGTTTTCTGGCCTGTAAAATTGGGATAATAATTATGACATTGAGCTCATGAGGTTGTTATAGAGTATTGATAAAGCACTTAGAACAGTATATAGTGAGCACTACAGATGTTTGTTAAATGAACAAATAAAGTAAAATGGCAAAGCATAAAATTGCTGAAATAGTTACACAGCAGGGAAAACAATTGCACACAAGTGGGAGCTAAAGAAAGAACAATGTCACATTTGCAGATGACTTGAATGTATTCATGTGCAAGATAAGTCTCAAAAACTTCGGCAGACCCCCAACTCGAGAACATTATCATTGCATATAATGTCTTCTGTAAAAGTGAGGTTAAATGGAGGCAGACATCTTTTAAATGACTTTTTATCCACAATCACTCTGTAAGTTAAGTATTAAACCATTGTTTCTCTAACTGGTGTCTCCTGGTACCCTGTGTGCCATGAGAAAAATATTTATTCTCAAATAAGTTTGAAAAACATTGAGTTAAGCAAAATGAAACAAATTTATTTATTGCAAGACTTCTCAGAGGCTCTAATGTGCAAATGTTCATGGTGACTCTCCAAGGGAAGGGTGGAGGATATATAATGTCCAGCATTAATTACCCTTATGCTGGGTGGCTAGCTATTCCCATTAGCAATGTGACTTTCTCTTACAAAGCAGCCTTGTAGCAGGAGTGATTCAATTTTGAGCTCCAGCAAAATGATAAATTATAACATATTATGGCCTGTTGGAGTCTCCTGCTAGTTATTGAAACCGTGACCATTCAATCATAAATGTAAAAAATGTACTTTGCTAGGAAATTAATCTACGAGTTAGAGACTACAAATGAATTGAAAAATCATTTTCATTATTATGATTTCTTGACTTCCATGATAAAGCAATTGTAATAATGACAGAAAACCTTTAAATACATGAGAATTAATTTAATTTATCCCATAAGAAATTTGTTCAGGGAAAATTATGAAACCTTAGGATGATGATACAGGAAGAAATGGAATGCTAATCTCTCCGGTTGCTGGGAATGTTTAAAAAAATGACTCTACATTATAATAATTTTCTACATTATAATAATTTGATGAAGTATTTAGTAGAATCTGGTCAACTTGTAGTGAAAGCTATTTGGGAGAAAATGGGCAGGAATGCACATATAATGTTAATAAAGATGATAATGATGGAAATGCTTAAAAGTAATGGTAGTGGACCTCCCAAAGTAAGATATTAAAGAATATATTGTGAACTGAGAAATCAACCAATGGCATCACTCAATATTTGTGTTTTGAAAATCACCATGGGCTAGTCTGGATTTTGGGAAAGTGACCCTCACTGGCGGAAGACAGAAAATGAAAAA